GAGTATTTGATAATACAATCGTGAATAATTAGCCAAATCCATCATCATAATGTAGGCTAATCCTAGTGATGTTAAAAAGTGTTGTCCCCACATATTTAATTTTTCCTGAATCACCAAAGTTGAATTCGATTATGAACTTGTGGAAGGTGAGACTTTCCAGTAATGATGGGCAAACAAAAAACCTGCAGGTATGTCTGATCTCACTGTTCAATTTCACTCTTAACAATGCTAATTAAATACCCACAAGACAATTTTACAATCTAAAAAATAAGATAAGAGAGAGAAAAGAAATCAACAATATGAAGTTTGATTTGATGGGATCATATCTACAAATATCTTGTTTTACTCAGCCGAGCAAATCATTCCCAAATGCAGCAGAGAAGCAAACAGTTAGTTTAAGAGTCTTGTCGTCAACCAGCAGACTCAAGTCTTTGTGCTAAGCTAAGCTAACCAGCAGCTGGCAGTTGCTTCATATTCATATCATATCAATTTAAATTGCCTTAGGAGGCACTTTCAAAAAGGAAATGAAAAACAAAACAAAATTCAGTTGTTGCCCTCAGACCACCATCACGACATGCACCTCAATGTAAAAGCAATGCAATGCCCCTGTGGAAAACAAACTCCTTTTGCAGCACATCATCGTAACAGAAAATGTCCATCATGCATCATATCACAGCTAAAAAATACCCTACAATATGATTGCAACAAAAACTCAGCTGAGATGAGTTTTTTAACATCAAATTCATTGCTACACATTTCGATGATTAGTTTACCCTTTCTGGTTCGAGGTGTACTAATCAGTGAAATCATCTTCTGTTGTGTTTTATGATGATGAAAGCCAGTAGACGACCAGCACAGGGCACATTGGTGTCAATCCTGCTTTATCTATGCATAATTAATTTTTATTTTATATTAAAGACCATGTTTGAAATCTGTCCAGTTAGTTAAGAAAGATTTCTTATTCCAATTGATGAATAAAAATGGTACTTTCAGGTCAGTCTCTATTTTGGTGAATAGGAAAAACTCTCTCATTAGTCTCTGCTGTCTAATAATGAATACATGTATTGCTACCAGGAAACAGACCAACACACAACAGTGGTGACATGGAGTTTGCTTCAAGAAACAAACTTTCGAGCTTCAATGATACCCAAGAAACAAGATGAAGGTTGGCGCCTCTTCTTAGTTATCTAGTCCAAACAACACAAGGCCCGTCTCCAGCCTGCATCAAGAAACTGAGACACAACGTCTTACAACCTTTCTTATCAGACAGTTAACAGACATCTTAACTTGAGGGAAAGGACACGGTCAGTTCACGACAACACTGCAGAAACACATGCATTTCATATTTTATACCTAAAAAGTTGTTTTTTCACCACAACAGTGATCTCTCTCTCTCTAAAATGGATTTTGTTTTCTCTTCATTTTTGCCAGTGCTATTTGAAAATGCTAAAATAAACTTGTTCTATTTTTGCTTGGAAACCAGCATTAACTCTGGTTACCACACAGTTGTTGGTAATCCTGTACAAGTACAAGAGCGATGGACTGGATTGTAGCTCAGATTAATTGGAGCCATTACTGTAATGTCAATAGAGCAGTAAGATGGCAATTGCTTGCTCTGTTTCTTCTAAATTTCCATCCAAAACCAATGAACCATGTTATGTTGTCGTTTAAGCTCTCACAGGACTCGGCTTAGGTTAGGGAAAGATCATGGTCTGGTTTAATGCAGAAAAGGTCCACAGTGATTTGAGGCACAGTGTGTTTAATGCCATTGAACCAAAACCACAATCTTTCCCAACCTGACACTCCAGATGGTTTGTTACACAGAAGCCAGCTTTTAAAACTCATAAGAAACAAGGCAATGTTCAAATAATACTAGGTGATTGGGTGAATAAAACTCTTACCAAAGTCAGAAGGGAGGAGAACGAAAACATCTTGGAGAAAAACCTTCAGTGTCGTTTTTTGCTCTTCTTTCCATGAAGAAATACTCTCCAGTTCAGAGTAAACTGATGCTATTGCAGCACCTATGTTAACCTCTTCAGGGGCCGCCATTGTTGCTAATTTCCGTTTAGAACCTGTGACGTCTCGAACACACCTAAGCCACACCCATAGCTGCCAGTAGCTAATCCCTGGACGCTGACTGGTCCGTGCACTGGTTCAACGGCGCATATATCGTGTATGTGATCCCGCCTTGATTATCGCGTAATCTCGCAACAATCTAGCTGCAGTGAAATACTTCCTTACCTTAACCAAAATGCATTTGATGCCTGAAGGTCTGGTTATGCTTGATCAGAACTAGTTCTAACCTTTTTTAGTGCCAGATTGCAGTAAAAAATTACAAATGGAATTAGAGCGGGACTAGATGATCAGTTGGTATGTATATTACACAAAGAAAAAAATACTGTTAAAAAAATCAAGCATTTGATTACGTTAGAAAACTGTAAGACATGTAAAGCATTCTGCAGATGTGCTTAGTTAATCGTCCACAAGACTATTCTATGTGGGGGATTTCAAATACTCACTTCAGCATTGAAAACATTTTCCGCTACAAGAGATTTCCAATGGCCGTGTGATTGCCGTCCGTAATGCGAGTCTGCCAAACAGCTACCTACTGTATATTCCTCTCTGTTTTACCGCTGAGCTCCATATTGTACTGTATGTAACAATACAACAAAAAAACAGGACACAGATCACAACATTGGTCATTGCATACAGTATATTCATAGTTAGCACTAATCTTCCCAAAATTACAGACAATTTAAAATGCTCAGAATTTAGACCACCCTGCTACAGGACAGACGTGTCCCTTTTAGAGTTGTTCACAGCACTGTCCCAAAGACAAAAAAAAAACTAAAAAGAATCCTAACATGCCTAAAGGACATCATAACAGCTTCACACTGTTACCATCTGGGAAGTTGAGTCTTTAGATTGAACTGTAGGAGGCTGGAATTAGTTTCCTCCCCAAAACGTCTCCAGCTGTCTCTTAAGCTGCCTGCATGATGTTTCTTCTCACAGGCAGATTTGTACCTCAGTGTGAACTCTATCACTCTCTATTTTACCTAAATCCCTCTTTTTTTACCGTATGCCGGACGTCCCCAATAGATGCTTTGAGATAATTATCATCATTATCATCTGCAATTCACTGTTGAGCTGTTTGTGTGTCTTCCATTTCTCACAGCATCATTTTAGCAAGCAGGTTAAAATGATTGGCTCTAGTTCCACCAAAAGATGTCTTCAAGATTTATGCTTTTGTTTTTTTGTTTTTGTAAATCTGGTTTGTTTATTCAGCGACACACACACACACACACACGCCTGCATATTTGTGTGGAGACAAATTCTTGGGAAAACACAAAAAAAACAGCACACATTAGAAACTGGAGAGAAACTAAGGAGGATGATCTGAAAAGACTGTGGAGTTTATAGCTGCATAAATTATCATATTAATAAGAAAACCTAATTTACCTCAGTGCTTAAGATTCTGAGTTCATGGCTGAGTTCATATTAATACAGTCCATGTACTATGTGAAGACAAGTACTGTATGTTGACATAGGATTATCTGCAAATGAATGCGCTGATTTACTTAATTAATAACTACATTAACATAACTGCTTATCTTTTATATATAATATGAGGACGGTGCAGGGATATTAGGCAGCTCAAGAGCCTCCTGGGGCGGCACAGTGGCTCAGTTGTGATTACTGTCGCCTCACGGAAAGAAGGTCCTGGGTTTGAACTCAAACAGAGCTGTACTTGGAGTGCAGCAGTTTTTCTTCCATGTTTGCTCCTTTTTTCTTCTCACCCGAAATTTAAAATGGTCAGACAGTTGCATAGGCTACTGCTGCTTTTGCCGTTGGGGGATCATATCTGTGTGTTTGCAAGTTTTATCCCCCCCCCCCCAAAAATGGATCGTGTGTACTTTGCATTTTTGCTGATTTCAAATGCATGAAATATAGTTTTAGTTGTTTTTTTATTAAGTATTTGCTGCTCCAGAAAGCTGGTGATTTCCATTCATTTCAGTAGTTTGAAATTGAATTAGTCTTGAAACCGCATTAATTACAATAATTAAATTTTGACAAAAATCAGCAGCCAGAAATAAATGGCTTTCCCAGCAGCGATGGGAAGATTTGTTACTGTAAACAAGCCTCAAAAAGCTTGGTTATCTTAGCCCTCAACCCAGAGTCACCATACCGTCTAAAATTAGGCTGAACGACGAAAACAACTTGGCTTCACGGCGGAAACTGTCTGTCCCAGACCTGAATGCATCATCTGTTGGAAAAGCTGTCAGTGCAGCAATGGTGCTTGATACGTTTACAACACATCTTGAGACAAAGCAAAAAAAAAAAAAACTTCGTCCCACTGCTCCTGAATAGTTAGGACGGATATATGCGGATGATATTTTTCCTTAGGGGGATTAATAAAGCATAACTTAACTTTGTAGACAGTTGGCTGAATTTGGACATAAAAAACAAAGGCCCAGTGCCTTCATGCTGTTTTTTGTATAATTAAAGTGAAGTCTGATGCCAGTTTCCATTACAGCCTCTCCACTGTTCTCATAATCATGCAAAATTGTAGCTTGTTCCTGCGTGTCATTATGGTGTCATTATGGATGTAGAAGCCCCAAGACCGTGTAATCACCTCCATCAGTCTGAAGTAAAATATAAACATGAGTCCTTGGCTCAGTTTGTCCAAATTAGCTGTGGGCCAGAGAAAACCACGGACGTATATCATATATTTACAGTTTTTACACCATTCACCTTTTAATTAAAGCAAATTAAAGTCCAGCTGTATATTTCAGCATGTATTTAAAAATTTGACAAAGGTTATTAACTCACCAATTTGCACTGAAATTGACATTAAATTGGTCTGCAACACTCCCAATCCCATTAGGTTGCATCAGTCATTTCCTGTAACACTTGTAAAAAAAAAAGTGTTCAGAAGAATAAAATGCTCAAATGATAGATGTTCATACACAACAGTCATTTCTTGGTCATTGAAAGGCAAATTTTTTTTTGTCAGATGTGGAAATTTCCAATGTGACTTTTATTCTTCTTTTACCAAATTGGCACACTGTTCTGTTATGTCACAAAAAGCACAGTTATTACACTTGACAGTCAGAATAATTTGGCATGTTTGATATGTCTTTAAAAGAAAGTTAGCATGTGAAACATAGTGCTGTACACGTTCAACTGGAAGATACAATCTAAAAACAGTCTAATTGGGGAAATATTCACATATTTTCTCAAAGAATTTTAAAGAATTAAACAATTTATGGATGGACAATAAGCTCTTTTTATGAAACTCAACTCTTTAAAAAGTGCAAGCCATGTTTAGTGAAAATGTTTACTTTACATACTTTACAAATATAAACAAACCAATTGAAATGTGAAAATACATGTAATCTCATATTCTGTCATTAAGGCCTAAGCACACTAGATGCAGTTAACACTTATCGCTGAATGCTGTTCATATGAAGCTTTATGACTAAGAAGCACCATTGATGCAGCACTGTGACACAGTGACAGGTAATGTTTATTTAGCATGTTTATCTACCAACACATCTCTTCACTGGTCTGGTTCTGCTTCGTATATGTGGATACCAGCTGGTTGTCCAACCAGACTTTTTCTTTTTCAAATACTCTGTCCAAATATGTCATTTTCTTGTACCCACTAAGCTTGAAGTCACACTTCAGAGCTTTGTTAACTGGCTCTTTTCCTCATCCACTTCTTAGCTTCCTGTAGCCTCTCAACAAAACCTGCATGATGTCATTTTCCCCCAAGATGGGTAACACCACTACAAGGTCTGCAAACCTTACAACATCCATTTAAGTCCTACTTTGACTTTTAAACATCAAACCCAAGTTTGAAGTTGTCATGTACCAGAATTTGCAAAGGCATAGCTCATGCGCTTCATGTGCATTTCTGCCTTTATACGGTCTGTTTTTTTTATTAAAAGTTTAGTCTTCATGTCAAATAACCATAGTACAAACAAGTCCAGTACTACCTCCTCAAGTGATATTCAAACATCAGAGAAGGATTCTTTTGAGATACAGTATGTCTTTGATCTGTTACATACAACACAATTAATGTAAAACCACAACGAGAAAAGTGTACTCAGTAGAGGGCAGATCTCCACCAGGTGTGTCTGCAACGACCACTGCTGTAATGTTTGAATGAACACAACCCACAATTGGTTAAACCTCCCCATCTACTGCAAGTGCATCAGACCTTTTTCACATAAGTCTCCCACAAAGAATACGCTGTCATTTGAAGTATTTATTTAGGCTTCAAGTCTACTGAGCTCACGGTTTTCACCCACTATGACTGCAGAGCCGTGGCGATGCACACTCAGCTGTGTGATCACTTGCGGCCCCTACCGGCTGGGGGGCCAGTTAAGAATAGTGAAAGAGTGGCCGGTCAATCAATGGCGGTATCGAACAGGCGATAAAAGGTATTTTGATAATGTGTGAGTCACCGCAACCACGACAGGTTCTTGAGCATACAGCCATAAATGAACACCCAAAACATTGTGCCGTTTGGTGAAGCAGTTTGGGAAATTAGCTATGGACAGACACAGAGATGCACAGACAGCCCCTCACTCACACACCCTCACACATGACGATCTCATGATGATTTCGTAGTTTGTGTCGTGAGCAACAACATGAAGCGATATAATAAAATGTCCTTGCTCAGCTCAGACAGGTTATTTCTTGAAACTCGTCCTCAAATTAAATGAGTTTATTCCTCTACAAAAACTTCACTATACTTTTTTTAACCTACATCCCTGCAGCTGCATAATTTCACAAGAAAATGAGCCATAAGAGAAAGAAAATCATTAACATCAGCAAAAGCTATTTCAGGCAGAGAGAATGGCTCAATGTGCTGCTCAATGATCGGAGCAGCCAGCAGGCTCTACAGCCTCCTGTGTCCATCCCTTTCACCGCATCTTTTCACCGCATCTCGCTCTCACAACATCTAAAGCACATGATGGGCGAAGAGCACTAAAACACACTTCCTAAGGATAAGAAGAAAGCGAGAGGGTATGACAGCGGTAAATTGGCTATTTCCTCCCCTGAGCCTTACTCCAGACTTTCCCTGCATGCTGAGCAATTTGAATTGTGCTGTAATTGCTCATGTTGCTTTTCTCATGCTCGTCATTTCTACAATAGAATTTGATCTCATTAGTTTTGCCCATGGTCGAATTCTCAGTCACTCACCCTGGCAGGAATAATACTAAGTGGCATGTTAACAAAAGAAGCAGATCAGAACGACTGTTGCACTCTACTTTTTGCCACACAAAGTGAGAAGGCGGCATAAGAGTCATATGTCTCACACATAATGTGACAACACATTTGGTTTGTGTCTCATCTCTTTTTGAATGCTGCACTTTAAAAAAGGTTTTCTTTCTTCTTCAATGGTACGAAGCAGTTTAAGTGTGGTGCAGTTTGTTATTAGCTTGTTGTAAAGTGGATTATCCTACTCAACCATAGTATGAAGCTTCGAGAGGAAGAGCCAAAGGGGCCAACAGAGAAACGGATGTGACACGAGTCATGAAATAGAAATCAAAAGCCGTGCTCCAGCCTGGTTGCAGTGGAGTAGACTGGTTATGGTTTTTGGGAGAGTGTATAGTGGATGTGGCCTTGGGCGATGTGCTTCTTGTTAAAAGAGGGGATGTACTTTGAGTGTGAAGCGGGCTCTAGATAGAGTATTTGCCCAGACAGCATTTCTAAATTCACCCATGCACTCATATATCTGCTCATGTTGCTGCCTGCATTTCATAGGAGAGGACTTGAGCAAAGACGTGGCAGATACTGCAGGACTGCTGATATCTTTTAACTCTTGGGGAGGCAGCGATATCAGAAACAGAATTATAACATAAAGTCAGGGTATTTTAAAAATGAAAAAAGAAATAAAGAAATTCAGCATTTCCTCCTCATAAATGTCCTCTGTGGCTCATTCTGAGTGCTGTGATGGATTTGAAAGTGGTAGCGAGTATAGAATATGAGCGGAGAATGAGGATGGAGGCTTCAGCAGCTCCAACGCTCCCGGTCCAGGATGAGTGTAGGCAGCAGCAGTAATGTTAACACCGGTACTGCTCGGCTAGCTGCTCCATTTTTACTCCCCCTAGCCCCTGATTCAGTGTTAGAGTCCTTCTCAGAATACGGTGGGATGATGTTGAATTCCTCGCTTTCTTCCTCCTCCTCTTCCTCGCTGTCCTCCATCTGTAAAAAGGGGGGGAAAGAGCGATTCTTCCAATTAACAGAAGTGGTGGAGCGCGGAGGGAAGAGAAAGTCCACATCAACGCAGAATTTCAAACTATACAGCAAAATATACTAAAGCTGCAGCCAAAGCAGCTATTATGTTAACAGTTTGAACAAGCAGACCAACTGACAAAAGAAACATAGACCACCTGTGTTACATTTTCACACTGCGTCTGAGAAGTGCTGACTCAGCACTTTGATAACTAACTAAGGTTGTTTTGAATTATGTTTTTCAGGTGTTTCTTTTATTGTGTCCACCCTCTGCATTTTGCCTCTGTCAGATAATAAAATCATGCGTTCATTAATGATCACATGATGTTTATAACAGTAAGAGATGCTAATATCAGTGCAAATACAGCAAGATGATGCCTTACATTTCCTATATAGTATCATACAGTGAGCCTGACTTGGAGGCATCTATAAAGGCAATCATGTGTCATAGTGGTTAAGAAAACAATAACCATCTATTGGCAGAAATCCCAGATCTGGATCAACTCTAAAGTCTATCTGATGATTACTTGGCTCAAAACCAATCTGTCCACCAAAATAAGTGTCTGAGGTTTGGCTGCTGACCGAACACAATAATATAAAGACATTTCCTGTGTGCATCAAACAGGAGTGGCCTTTGCCATCTGATTTGGTGTGGTCTAAATTGACAAATTGTGGTTTGAACAATGTATGCAGTGCTTTTCAAATGCAAAAATGATTAACATGAGAAACAAACTCTTGTAGCGAGCTTATCCAAAACATTACATTATACCCACAATCTGACATTATGCTCATTATTAATATTAATGCAAAAACAACTTCCAGTTAATGAGATTTTGAAAACCACATTTAAGGATGCCGTCAATATAAATGACTTCAATTTCTGTAAAACAATATTATTACTGTCAATTCTTTCCTCAGGAAACACTGATATCAGTTGCTCTTTAACTCTCACACTGTTGTTTTGTTTAAAGGTGTAAATAGTGAGATAATGTAAAGGTTTAAGTGAATAATCAAAATAACAGTTTACAGAGCTTCATTTTATTCTAGTGTTTCTTTCTTTCCTTGGCGTCTGCACTTTGACTTGGTGAAAGTATCACAATTCAGCAAACCCCCCCCACTGTTGAAGGGTTTTATAGTCCACATATTCTTTTTCAAACTTTACTCAACTGGCATTAAAACTTGAAGAGAACACTTGTTGTTTCTCCTTTCTGTTACTCGTCTAGCATAACAAGCCATTTTTCAGTAACTATTCTTCCCAAATCCAATTTATAATTTTAAGGTCATAGAAAAAAACTCATATATTACAAGATGCATTCCCTTTGTTGCATCATCTCAACTTCAGTGATACATAAAAATTAGGAAACTCAAATGCATCATCTTTAAATAAACTGTATATCTGGATGTGTAATATGCAGCCCCACCGGGGGCAGGGTGTCGGTGCTGTAAGGGATTGTGGGACAGGAGAGGAGGAAGAGGAAATGCGGATTGAGGAGGATTAAAATGGTGAGAAAATGGAGAATATGGAGCAGATGGGTATGCATACATGAATATCAACAGTAAGGATTGAGTCTAATACTACAAACACCTAGAGCTAATCCTCAGCCACACGAGAGGGGTAAATGAGGGAGGAGGGAGCTGCTGGGCCCAACAGTCTGCTGCTGATACTTAGGCGTTACCACCTGATACACAGTCAACTATTTCAATTCAGTGTGTAGCAAGTGTCCAACACTAGCATATGGTGAGACAGAGAAGAAGTAGAGAGTGCTTACACTGTTGAATTCAGGGAGAGTGTTAACGCGGACGTGGACCCTCTCCTGGTAGACGCGCGGGGAGGGCTGAGAAGCTGGCACAGGAGTGTTTTCCACAGGAGGAGGTGCAGAGATCCCCATGGAGCTGATGCCGCTGCCTGAAACACAATCAGCAGGGGCCATCTTCATTACGTTCACATTGTTATTCCTCCTTGACGCATCACAGCAATATTATCAGTGACTTTTAAAAGTGTATAGAGCCACTAAATCAGTAAATACTGTGGAGGATTGGGCAAAATACATTGAAATATATTGGTTAGAAAATGAGTGCCATGTCTCTTGGGATGCTGGTTTTGGTGGGTCGGTCCACCACTTTGGTTCAGGCTGATTCATCTCAATAAATATTTGATGGATTGCCATTCCTTTTGGTACATACATCACTGTCCCCCGCAGGATGAATTGTAATACCTCTGGGGATCCTCTGACTTTTCATCTATGTTAGCATTGTCATTATGGAAGTTGCTCACTGGGAGCTTACACCAAGAAAAGCCACCGTTGGGTTTCTGGGGCCTACAGAGCATACATGCCACAGTCCTTCTGCAGCCGGGCCAGGTTGAGAGCATGTCAGTGCATCAAGAATAACATGGATGGGATGAAATGATGTAATCATACAGCTCTTCTAGACCTTCCAAATGTTACTGGACTCAATAAATCCGATTCTTACATTGACATGAGTAATTGTGGTGTGTTTTACAGCCACTTTATCGTCCAGACTTTCCTCCGACCCGTAGTCTTTACATACCTATTGTTGTTAATGTGAGCAGATTTTACGGTAAGCGTTACTTTTATGCATAAACAGTGCTTCTTGAGTCTCTTGTGATGCTCTTTCCACCCCTGCTGGTTTGGCAAAACTTCAACAAAAGGCCACTTTATGTTTGTCACATTTGGAAAAAGGATTCATTAACTTTAAAGAACCTAGAAATCACATTCACATTAGGGCAGCCAACCAGACAATGTCACTCGATATTTACTTTTTTATAGGAAAAATGATAATAATGGTCTGAAGACTGGACTGTGAAAGATACTTAAGTTGCTTCTATATTTTTGGACTTTCTCTGTTATTTGGAATGTTAAACGCATCACTCTGGTCCTGGCTTGTGTGAATTTATGGCATCTTGTAGGGCAGGTTTTATACAATGATGCAATAATAAAAAAGCAATAAAATTTAAATTCAATCTAACTTCTTAACTTGACTAAATGGTATATTTGGGTTAATTTCACTGCAGACTAAAAACAGCAAGATGAAACACGCACGAGACTAAAGGTGCGATCATCTTTGCTGTAGTTTATAGAGAAAGTTAATCATTTTAGCTTGAAACACACCTGTGGACACATACAGTTTCTATCCTGGAAGCTGCACATATTTCATGTAGGAAACTCCCAGAGCTTAACTCATTTATTATTATTACTTCAGTGTTTTTGTCTCACTATGGACATGCAGCCCTGCAGGTTTATTGTACTGCATGCCGTAACCATCGTCACATTCTACTCACGCAGACACGTGTTGCTGCTGAACAAGTGCAGGATGCGCTGACAGCCCTGCCATTCGTTCCCGCTGCCGTCACATGTGCACCACTGAGACACTTCTGTGCTGTTGTTGCTCACATAGTTAGGAGTCATGATGGTGCCTAAAGAAAGAGGACAAAAGTCATATTACAGGTGGAACTTTTAAAACGTTGTACATGATATTTCCCTTGGGCAGAGGATTTTCAATTTTCAGCACACACCTCCATGGAAGGTAAGATGCAGTCTAACATCAATATTAGTGCGCTGGGGACACGGTGTCACCAGTTTTCCAGCTCTTGATATTGATAATTGCAGGTAGACAAAATTACTTTTTGATAAATAGTGAGAAACTAAAGGAAAAAATATTACCTGGATAATTTTGTGGAGCTGCTGGAAATGCAATTTTCAAAACAAGTATTTCAAAATGATGCTGGCTGGATCCCCAGAGCAGCAGCTATTTATAGTTGACCATTTATGAACCCCTGTAGAGTTATTTTGTGCAACAAAACGAATATAATATAAGACAAATATCACTGTTAGACACCTGCTGATGATTTCCAACAACAAGTCCTTTAAGCAGCTTTTGGTATATTTTTTCAAACTATTCCCTCTTTCAGCCTCTCCTACCTCTGTAATTTTTTTTTTTCTATCTCACCTATGAGTCCAGCGTAGGCCTTCAGGCACATGGCTCTGCTGTCTCGCATACAGCCAGAGGCAGACAGAGGGGAGGCCTGGCAGTTATGTTGGAAATCAGCGAACCGGGATCTGAAGCACGCACACACAAACACAACAATTTGACGATTTCATTTTGGGATTCGGAGTCAAGCTAAGAAAGACAACACAAACAACAACATTTCGTGAGAGTGCAAAATACAAAACAGAGAAATAGTCAGTCGCTCAGTAACACCACCCACTTCTCTTTAGAAAGTTAATGAAACTCGAATTACTGTCTTCACCAACCAGTCAAGTAGAGATTTACATAATCAAGGTCAATATGGTAAATTATGAGCAGGTTAAGAGGCCACATCAATCCGGTGCGCACAACCTGCTAACACTGTTTAACAACCTCCCTTTGCAAGCACACACAAGCGCCTAAAGAAATGAATGGGTGGCCCACAGAGACTGCTTATGTATCGGGCAGAATTTGGTGTGACACCCGTTTGTGGTATATCTTCTGATCCTTTGTATTTTGGTGCTTTGTAGTACACATTGTGAAATCTGCATTTTTTTTCTGTTCTGTGTGGTTTCATGCTAAAACCTTATTAAGGGCACTTAATGTACCGTATTGTTACACTCAAACAACTGTCTTACCTACACAGCTCGTCTCTGGAGCAGTAGTTCTGAAGGCTGAGGCAGTTCGGCTTTCCCACTCTCTCCTCCCCTCTCCCATTCTCCTCATAGGAACATGACGGGACGATGGTTTTCCTCCGGCGCTCCCCACACAGAGTGTCAGAGCAAGGACAGAAGAGCAGAGCGAAGCTGTACTCCTCCGGCACGCGCTCTAGGAAGCGCCGCAGGGCTTTGTGGCATTTCTGGCGGTTACAAGCGCTGTCGGACACTGTCGATCGCTTGGTGCAGGCTACAACGTATTCTGACCGCAGGGAGCCACATTTCTCATACAGGCCACAGTCCTGCGCTGCCTTCAGACACTGGTTTTGGCCGTCCACAGAAAGAGAGGAAGCTGGAGTTCATCAGGAGGAAAACAGTGAAACATATATTAGGAAATAAAAATCTTGACCTACAGAGATTTGTGTGTCACAAATTTAATGATTTGCGATAAGAGCGGTACCTGACATGATGGAGGCCATACGAGACATCTCAATATTTCTCACCAGAGTTAACTCCAGTTCTTCATATGGAGACACTTCATACTGATCATATGCTGAAACAACAGTAAAGAGTATTAAATGGATTACGCAGCTGAGAATTCAAGCACACAGATGATAATGCTTAAACCCACCTGCAAATCTCACAGTCCAGTAGACCCTGAGGCAGTGTTCCTCTCTGCGAGAGCCACGCTGACATTTGCAGACTTGAAGGGGTCGGTAATGCTGCAAGGAGTTCTGGGCCTCAAGGCACTCCAAGCGGGCATCTCGGCCGAGGGGCGACACGGCCTCCTCAGCCGCACAGTACTCCAGCAGCCGATAGAGCACCATGCAGGACTGCTCCTGGATGCAGTCCTGCTCCGCCACCAGACAGTCTAAGGATGCACATACTGGATAACTACCTGGAGGAGAGGTTGATATCGTCAGTGCTGGTCCCCAACATTACCACCAATGTGTGCTCAGCTGTATTGTGCAAAGCGGCTGAGTTTATAGTCCCATTATCCAGCATTAGTCTTACGCTAAATAGGCTGTAATTAAGACAACAGAGCAAGGTGAGTGCACTCCATAGGCCCTTCACTGCACTAAAGCTTACTATAATATCCAAGGAAGAGGATTAAATTGAAAGCACACAAGTGTAATAGAGTAGCAACGTGGGCGAAACCTCAATGTTTCTCATAAAAAAAAACAGGAGTCTCTTGGATATTTTAACACTACAGGGTTATGTTATGGTTGTAATTATTCCATAATTGTTTCTTCATCTTCTCATTGGGACTCCTAGTTAAATTCTCTTCTAATGTTTTTATGTACAGTCTTACAGTACAGCTTTGCCTTTATATTGATGCACCACGTGTTTTTTCAGCACAGTGTCTCAATGTGAGTCCTGATGAGAGTCATATGCCAATCAAAGCTTTTGGAAGCTTCGTGTTAGCCTCATCTTTCTTATCACATGCCACAATGCTCCCGGATCAGTGAGCTTAGCACACGCAACCGTACATTTTGAGACATTTTATAAGTCTATGGTGCTCTCGTGTATAGTTTCAAAGCTGCCCTTCCTATCCTCCTCCCTGCATTGCCATGTCCTAAAACTCTCTTAATCTCTTGATTTTTGGTACAATGGAACAAATGAGCTAAGATGAGGATTGGGAGGATGAGTCAATTTGAAGGGTGAGCTGCCAACGAGCATTACATTTAAAAGCTAGTCAGAAAACTAAACGACTCAATGGGGATGCTGTAAACAGCGGATTTCTCAAGTCTTGGATGCTTCTTGTATCTACCTGTAAGTACTTGAACCACTAACAAGGGGTCATTTCCAAAATGGTCCCTTTCATATGTCTATAACTAACTGTTAACTCAAATGTTAGTCCAGCCCATTGTTATCTGCATTTCCATAGAGGTAAAAAAAGACCTGCTAAGATTAGGCAAATTAGTCCGCTGACATATATAAAAACGACATGACATGGGACGAGGGCTGCTGGTGGACGCAGTGGTAGACACACTCTGCAGCTTGCAGTAACAGTGTGCCTCCCCATTTCATCCAAAAAAACAAATTACTACTGCATATTGATGCATGAGCGCTTGATCGTGTCTGAGTTGTGCTTTAGAACGTAACCGTCATGAAACAATCAAAAAAAAGTTTTTAATTGAAGCGACAGCAAAGCCTAACTTTCCTTTTATTGTTATCAATCTAAGAGAAATGCTCTCAACTCGTCCTAAAATGTACCTAAATCGGTACTGGAGCACTTATTGTACTGGAAGTATTGTAGAAAAGCACTGATGTTATGATTGAAAAAAAGACACATGAACAGCTGGGGACCAAACTTTCTGCAGGAGGGTGCCATCAGTGTGAGACACAGCACAGTTCATATATTTCCCACCAAACTGATACTTTTGCTTTACATTTTGCTTACAATGGAGACTCCATCTGCATATCACATTAAGTCAGTGACTGAACTCAAATGTCCACGATGAGGATGTTTCCCCCCTGAAGTTCCTTCAGACAAATAGTCCGTCGCACCTACATTGTAGAAAACAATCAGCAGTATATGTATTTTAAAGGAGTCATAGCATTAATTTAAACAAGGGTCCTTAAGTACGATTGTGTTTCATATCACCAACCACATTTCCTCTCAAACAAATATGTCATTCAGTAGAATAACAACTGTTATTCCACAGCGATTAAGCATTAGGAATGTTGTGATTGGCACTGTTCTGTCTAGAATGAGTGAAAGTGAAAAATTATAAATCACTTCATAGCACTGATTGTTGCTGCATGAGAAACACAATGCAGGAAGGCCAGAGGCAGCCCGAGGGACACGAGAGAAAAAAAAGAAAGCCCTCTTCATAAAAATGCATTCTGATGGAGCAATTCAGGAAATGAATTTCTCAAATGTGGCATAATTGTCCCCGCAAATTACACTTTATACACAGCGATTCTAGAAAAGGAAAGTAGCTCGGATAGGCAATATACACATAATTGTTTTGCTGTATCTTGCTAATTTGCTATATCCTGTCACTTCTTAACTGCAAAAAAAAGAAAACATTTAATATATTGTCCGACTAGAAATAAATGGAGGTATGTTTGAACTTTGTAAACAAATATCTGCACCTATTTTATCCTTACATGGACGAATGCTTCAGTACATTAACATATACATCACGCACACACACACACACACACACACACACACACACACACACAGATGCATTGTGTTACATCGGTCACACACTTCGATTAAACTCCTGCTGACTGGCGGCACAAAGCGAGGCTGCAATCCAATTCCGTTGCTGCATGTTTCGCAATCTCAGACGCCACATGAGGTCCATGTCTCACTTTGGCATGGGACATATCATAAACAGAGGCTCCGCTTCATCGCCGCTGCAGGAAACCTGCCAAGGCCACTGCAGTGACTCCACAGGGAGAGGTGGGGAAGAAGAAACACTACTAGCACACAAGGCAATGAGTCATATTCACAGTCACAGATCCCCAAGGTATGTCAAGGTGTGATTACCTGCCTCCATATGTATCATGATACCTTGATAATTATAGTAAAATATTAACTTCTGCCATGTTTAGATTAATGTAAAAAAGCTTCATGTAATCGGTGTGGGTAGTAAATGGCTTATTCATTATTCCTTCTCAATGTTTGCTCCCTCTGGCTTACCACTGATAAAGAGAAACTATCAGCATATTTAGTATCCAGGAGCTTGTCTTTGTAAGCGACACACACACACAAACACACACACACACACACACACACACACACACAAAATCGGATAACCAAAAGCTTTACAGAGTACAGAGCAGCTCTGTTAAACCTTGTCTAGTAGACAGGTCAGAATTATATTTATAGCTTGAACATTATTTAACGTCATGATGATTAAGTGGCAGAGTGTTCACATTGTGCTGTTGGAGATGCAACAAATTGCTTAAGTAAAAGTCTGGGTTAAGGGAATTGTTGGTTCGAGCATGGACTGTGTGTTTGAAAGAAAAAAGAAAAGCAGAGAGAAGCGAGATGAATTACTGTGATGTGTACGCCGTAGGACACCCTATTGATTTCTCACTGGGGTGATTAATAGAATTTGTGAGGCAAAGCTGATGAAGGTTAACGCCATAAACGACAAACCACACAGACCGACATTCACGGGGAGTGAACTGATTTGACAAAATATCTCCTCCATCCTTTCGCACACACAGATACTGTAGGTAGCAGAGCATCCACATTGTTAGGCAGTAATTTTACTTGAGAGGAGAGCGTGATGGGAGACTCTGATGTGAAATGTGTTCCCGGGGATCGTGACAGAAGAGACATCTTGGAAGGAAGTCGTAGGCTCAAGGGGGAAACAGCAGCAAGGCGACAAAACGGAGAAAACATGCCCATGGCTGCCGCCACTTGTTACTATTTGCTTTCATCCATCTGCCCTCCAGTCAAACCGGTGGGATTCCTGAATAGACTGCATAAAAAAGACTGCACATTGATGTTCCACATGAAGTGGAATATGGTGACAATCTGACTTAAGTCAAACCACACAAGGAGTTTCCAGGCGTCAACTTGATTTTGGGAAATTGCGATGGGCTTTTTGCACTACATTATTTTCAGACAATTTAGAGACCAAACTATCAATCAATGAATCAAATTGAACTGTTTTTTTATGGCTGGAATGACAAACTCTGAACTTATTTGAGCCTTATTGGGCTCATCGGTGGCAGATTACTTTGATGATGCAATATGAACATGAGATACAACGTCTGCATACCAGAACAGACCTAAAACCAGCATAGTTGAGCTTTAATATGTATAATCTTATGCTGGTTGGTGTAAATGCATGTACATATCTATGACTATGCCCAATATACTCTGCAGTTAACGGAGTGCTAATGTGAAAGCTGTATTACCTTACAAGACTACACTGGAAAGCATTGGACAAAACAAATGGGAACAAATAACAGGCAGGACAATAGAGCACATGTTTGTAAGTCAAAACAATGATTGTCCTGCCAAAATGCCCTTTTCTAATTTTGATTTAAGCTACTACATTCAATAAATGTGTATTTATTAAAAATTAGAGACAGCAGATGGCAAATGAAAGGGGGGTCTTTTTAAACATTTGCAACAGCAACCAGTAGATTTATTCCAATTCTAAATATAAACAAAACACAAAACTCAAAAGGTGATTGACCCCATCTCATTCCAAAAATGTTAATACCTTCATTTCTCACAGTAAAGTTTGATTAAAAACACTGAACCATCTTGTGCCATAAGTGTTTAGAGATCTGTGCACTGATTCAGTGTTTGTAAAAGACATTTTAGTTTCCTGGTTTTGATTGCATGATATTGGTTATTGGAACAAGCTGGACGGAGGGGTTTCCCCAGGACAGACACAGCTGTGCACATTAAAGCTTGTGTGGGCCCTTATTGACAGTCATTTCTGCTGAGCTCTAGATGTGTCACTTTCCACCAATCAGCTCATTGTCTTCCAACATTAAACTTTCTATTAACATCAAACATATGCTTAACAGTTTGCACATATTCTCTTTGTTATGGAAAAATTACAGACACTGCCCTAGGCATCTCGGTCGAGCAGCTCTTTTTAAAGAAACAGGATGAGTTCCGTTTAATTTATAAAAACGAACTTATTTTCTCAATACTGGTGAGTTCCCTCTTCTTTACATGCTATTTCAAGGCAAATTACATTCTCTTCAGACCTGTTCAGCATTGTATAGTAAATTTTCACATGAACGGAAAACCTGCGCAGCAGCTGTTCATTGTACAAAACTGCTTCGAAATACCTCAGCTGTCACAAAATGTCATACATATTACACATTGTTATTAACCAAATGCGCTTGTTCTGTCTTGTCATTAGATGTTTCCCCTATTTTTCTGGGTGTAACGACCTCTGAACT